CCCCAAACCCCTGCACCCCCTCACTCCTATTGCTAAGACTCTGGCAGTGGCAGCTTCCCCACCTCAGGTGCTGGGGGAAATGGGGTAGGAAGCGGGAAGAAGGCTTAACCCGAGGCCGTGGCGCCTCCTGCTGGCCTCAGTGGGAACAGCAATGAGGAAGGGCTGCTAAGGGGTGGGGGGGAGGAGTCAGTGCCCCTGGAGGGCTGCCACTGGGCTGCCCAGAGCATCACAAAGGCGGAGCTGCAGTTTAAATTTAAGATTCCCTTTATGTTCCATAAATCTGCCTTTGCTCCGTACGCTCATCCAGTGTTTAAAGTTTAAAGCCAGGTTCTTGCCTTCAAGGAGCTTAAGATCTATTTTGAGTACATGAGGCTGAAGCTTAAAACAAGGGAAACAAAGCAAGGCAGATGTAATTAAGAGCTACATTGTATGGTACAGATCGTAATGGCGCTTCGCCGCCTGCTAGTGAAGGTTTGAGGAGCTAGGGATTTTTTATTAAAGTACGTTCTGTTATTTAAAGAACCTGAAAAGATGAGACAGATGAATAATCCCTAAATAAAACTAGATTTCATGACATTTACAACCCCACCCTCTTGTAAAAGGAAAACATCCATTCCCTTCTCTCCCTCTTAAGCTGTTTTCTATTTTAACAGCACTTACCACCACCTGTGGTATTGTTTATTGTCTACATTAATATCATTGTTCATGCATCATTTTTATGTTGCTGCATTGTCTCTTCAAAGATCCAGAATATTACAGGGGTGGAGCCTTTTCAGATGGGTTACATCATGAGCTTCTCATCAACATACCTGAGAAGCAGCCATTTAGATACACAGGTAACAATCCTAGTCAACTGGGATACATGAGATGTGTATTGCAGTCCTGACAGCAGCCACAATACATCTGAACTAATGCTTTCATGTTTTCTAGTTTTTGTTAGTCTTAATCTTTGAGTCGAAATTTTTAAGACACACACAGATGCATTAGCATTACACAAAAACACAAATATAGCTCTGGCTGGGTAGCTCAGTTGGTTAGAGTATTGTCTGGATATGCCAAGGTTGTGGGTTTGATACCCCATCCTGATCCCACATACAAAAAAGCAATCAATGAATGTATAAATAAGTGGAACAACAAATTGATGTTTCTCTCGCCACCACCACTCTCTTTTTTTCTCTCTCCCCTTCCTCTCTCTCTCTCTAAAACCAATAAAAATTAAAATTTAGCCCAGTGGGCATGGCTCAATGGTTGAGCATCAACCTATGAACCAGGAGGTCACTGTTAGATTCCTGGTCTGGGCACATGCCGGGTTGTGAATCTCCAGTGTGGGACATGCAGGAGGCAGCCGATTAATGATTCTCTCTCATCATTAATGTTGCTATCTCTCTCTCTCCCTCTCCCTTCCTCTCTGAAATCAATAAAAATATTTTTTTATTTTAAATTAAAAAAACACACAAATAGAGTGTTCATCTGAAAATTAGTCTATCTCAGTAACGGTACTGCTGTTCTTCCACCTCTTTGGAGAACTGCAGAATCACCCAAGTTGCTGTGCTCCTTGGTACACAACAGCCAACCCAAGGCCCTGTCTGTGCAGGTTTCTAGTGAGTCCAGGAGGAGCATAGGATGCAGAGAGCAAGGGCCCGTGTTTCCTGAAACACTTTTTCCTGAGTCTTCCAGGAATGCCCATGGCCTTGGGAATAGAATCCAAGTTCCCTCAAGGGTCCACCTTTAATCCACTTTTTAAATTAATCCCCTAGCTCACATTTCCCTTCCTATCCCCAATTACCTTCACCAAAACTGGACCCTTCTTTGCTGTTTTCTTTTTGCTTCCCTTCCTGGACCCAGCAATTCCATTCCAGCCTATTCTCTTTTGTAGAGGGAAGAATGAACTCTCAGACCCCTCTCCCTAATTAAGTCCACACTCTCCTTTAGTTTTTAGCTCAGTCCCACTTTCTTGAGGATATTTTTTAGTCAACCATGCCTGAATTGATTTCTCTGGCAATTTAAAAGATTTTTAAAGGCGGTATGGCACTCACCACCACCTCCCTGATTCCTACCCCTTGTGTTTGGAAATCATGATCAGTTATCAAATGACTGGGTGATGCTACTGGCGTGTACTAGTATGATCCAGGCACTAGAGATGCTACACATACACACCTGCATTATGAAGAACTGGCCAAAAGGAAAACAACACTTCCATAAGCTGTTCATGTTGACCCATATGAAACTACTGGTAGCCAATCATATGAAATTGCCAATCTTATAAAGTAACCATATTGGCCTATAATAAAAAGGCAATTTTTTATAAACTTAAAATCATATTCTTATGAATTTAAGATATATAAATAGACCTGCTAAGTTATCTATGTATATATTTCCAGCAACTGGCTGTTGGTTCGCAACCTCTGAAGTTCCCAGGTTGAAATTTGAAATTGGCCCCTATACACAAAGGGCAAGTAGAGACCCAAGAAAGAAGGCAGGCCACTCCAAATTGGTAGGTGGCAGTGTGAGTAAGCAAGGGAGCTTATAGACAAGGCTTGTCTCTGGCAGTTGCAAGACAAGTAGATCTCTGCACCCACCCACAAGAATCTCAGGAGTTTATACAGACGCCTTAACAGGGTTCAGTCACACATACAGTCAGATGGTCTCAACCATACTTTACTCTCTCAGGGCTGCATCCTTGAATCTGCTCCTAGAGTAGAAACACTGGGCGCAAGGTACACTCCAAAGACAGGGAAGCGGGTAGGAATTGTCTGGGTCCAGCTCCCCTGTCAACAGGTAGCCACGTCTTTTCAATGACCTCCTCCAAAACAGGCACAATTCCAGACACGCTGTGGAGGCTCAGTAAATGTTAAGGGTTTGTTTGTTTCTTTGTTTGGGGGTTTTGTTTGTTTTTGTGTTTTAAGGTTTTAAAATGACTATTAGACACCACTTTCCCAAGCAGTCTTGCTGATTCTAGAAGAGCTCATTCTCCGGAACCATGTAGCTTGTGAGTGGAAGGTGGTAGCTTTTCTCCATGGGATCCATTGCCCGCTGTCCATTCTCACCTTGCTTCTCAGGCTCCTGAAACTCACTTGCACTTCTCGTGAACAACCTTTGCCTCCAAGGACCACAAACGTTACAATAAAATTATTTTTAAGGATCACCCATATTCATGAAATCAGAAACACCATTTCTCAATATTGCAAATGTTTCCTAACTTCCAGTCCGGCACAGGAAGCAACATTCTAACAAGATAGATAATGGATTATATTTCACACCATTATTTATCAGCAGTGCTGCTTACCCAGGCTGCTGATGACATATGGAGGTATTCTGCTATCTCATTGACCAAAGAGAGGCTCCCAAGAGAAGCAAACACTCCTGTCAATGGCCCAATCTGCAGTTGCAAAGTCCATGTCTTGACCTGCAAGAAAATAATAAAATTATATATGTAACTTCACAATATCTTTCAGATCAAACACTGGTACCAAAGAATAGAGCCTGAAATTTACAGTTTGGGGCCTCTCTTTAAGGCAAAGAGTAGAAAATTTGATGTAAACATGAATATTTACTTAAAACTAGAAATAAATCACAACAATTTTAAGTCTTTGATACTTATAAATGCTACAAACTTTTAAAATTAAATCATAAGCCCAGGCGGCATGGCTCAGTGGTTGAGCATCAATGTATGAACCAGGAGGTCATAGTTCAATTCCCAGTCAGGGTATATGCCTGGGGTTGCAGGCTCAATCTGTGGGGGGCATGCAGGAGGCAGCTGATCAATGATCCTCTCTCATTTCGTCTATATCTCTCTCCCTCTCTGAAATCAATAAAAATATATTTTTTAAATTAAATAGAAATTTTTGTTAGTTACTGGCTCTTCTGTAATACTTGTTTCCTATATATTTTTACTTCATACTCTTTAAGCAACTCTTCACATTAAGATTAAAAATATAATTGTCTATGGAAATAACAGAAAGAATCTGGTCTGTTTCTTACCATGGTTGTTTGAAATTGTTTTTCATTTTTGATCATTTAGAAAAATGTCTTACTTATTGTTAGTAGTGCAATGTTCATTTTTTTAGAATTGTCAAGTTAGGGGAAACCATTACCAAATTTCTCCTATATATAAGCAGTAAGGTTTCAAGGAATTCATGTTTTCTTGTATAGTGAATAATCTTAAACATCCCTTGTATTGAGAGCAGTCATTAACCAGTTTGCAATGTATTTCTAAGTTTTACTTCATCAATGTCAGTATTTTGTCTCAAGCCAGAAATTTAAATCTTTTCCCAACGTGTTCATATGATTCACTCCTCTTCATTAACTGGATTATCAAACAATCAGAAGCCTATTCATTACTTCTATTCAAAATTTCTCTTTTCTTCTTAAAGAATATTAGTTTTGGTATAATTTGAAAAAAATGTTGCAATTTGCCCGTGGATGTCAGATTGATTTCTGTTGATGTCAGTGTTACTCTTTTTCTCTTTTTGTTTCATATCCCATTAACTATTATCTGAATCTCCTCTTGGTTTTTTAATACATAAATGTAGATAAT